CGTGGAGCCTTGTCAAAGGTTTTACTAAAGTCCTAGTAAACTACCGCTCTGCTCTCATCAATCTTCATGGCTATTTTTTTCATAGAATCCCTACAGTGTGGAAGCAGGCCATTCAGCCTATCGAGTCCAGAGCAACCCCCTGAAGTGCATCCCACCCAGACCAACACCTCCCCACCCCTCCCCCCATCTACAACCCTGCATTTCCATGGTCAATCCATCCAACCTGCATATCTTTGGATTGTGGGAGGAAAGCCACACAGACATGGGGAGAATGTGCAAACTGCACACAGAGGCTTTGAAACCTCTGGATTTTTCTAAGATAAGGCTAATTCTTGATTCTTCTAAACCCAAAACCAAGCTAACATCTTTCAATGTGTCCTGTCTCCTGTCATGAATCCCCACAATACAAACAAATTTTCACTCACACTCCTGGAGGCACATACCAGTTTAAAATCACGGTTCCTGAAAGGTGACCGAGTTGATTGTTAAACATCTTCACTGGTTTAAAATTCAAACTCTTTAAAAAAGTGTATATATAAATAACACTTCATCACAATATATAAATAAATTTCAGCAGAATCATAAGACATTAGTATAAAGTAGGCCATTCAGCCTATTGAATCTGCTCCACCATTCAATAATATCATGCTGATCTGATAATCCCCAACTTCACTTTCCTGCCTTTTCCGCACAAATCTTGAATTTCTTCCTGATTAAAAATCTGACTATCTCAACCTTGAATATACTTAATAATCCAGTTCCAACACCCGTCTATGGTAAAGAATTCAATAGATTTACAACTCCCGAAAGAAGAAATCCTTCCTCATCTTGACAGTAAAAAAGCATGATTTGTTTTTCTTAGTTCATTTTACAGACTTTCTTAACAATACATTTCAGCATTTTCCAATGACAGATGAGACCAACTGGCCTGTAGTTCCCTGTTTGTGTCGCCCTCATTTCTTAAAAGGCAATGCTATATTTGTCAACTTCCAATCTGATGGGACTATTCCCAAATCTAAGAAATTTTGAAAAGCCATAGCTAACGTATCCACTATCTCTGCAACTATATCTATGAGAATCCAAGGGTGTAAGCCATCAATACCATGGGACGTCAGATTTTAATTCCTCAAGTATCTAAAGTAAGTTATCTTTGATAATTAATTACCTAAATACTCACTTTCTTTTTAGTCCCTAGGTTATCCCCTATATACACCTGATATACACCTTGCTTCTTCTCCTGTGAAAACAAAATATTTATTTCACGGCACTGCCCTTCCTCATTCCCCAATATAATTTTTCTTTTCTCAGCTTGTAAGGAACCAGTGCTGTAGCCACCCCCAGTGCAGTCTGTAACTGATTGATACAACTGAATATTTTGCTATTCCATTTCACAGGGCAGTTAAAAGTCAACCACCTAGCTGTGGGTCTGTAATCATGGATAGGCCAGATCTGATAAGGGCAGATGATTTCCTCCCATGAAGGGTTTGGGTGAACATGATAGTTTTGTTTTTTAAGCATAATCAAATAGTTTCTGATCAATTCATGAGACCAATATTTTATTTCAGATTCATTATTTGATCGAATTTAAATTCACTAGCTGTCACGGTAGGATTTGAATCAATCTCTGGAGTAACAGTTCAGGTCTCTGTTTCACATAGCAAGGAATATTTTTAAAATCAAAGTGTGTTCTGTTTTTCTTTTTCTCTCTCTTTATTTCTAAAAGTGTCCTTACACATTCCAAACATTTTTTTCTCTCCATCACCAAATCACCCAGGGTTCAAAGTGTGTTCTAAATTACAGGGCAGATTTCAGGTATGGTGATACTTAAATAAAATTCAACTGAAAATTGATAGAGAAACAAAACACTTCTCAACACCCAGTGTAATTTTTGGCACAGTTTGCATCCTGGTCATTCATTGCATTCAAAGCAGAATTGTTCCTGAATGGGCCATTGTAGGAATGCACGTACTTGAGGCAACCAAAATTGCTTGGAAACCGTTGCTTGATGTCCATCGGGTGTAGATCAGCCACTTGTAAAACTCATGCATTTTATGTAATAATTTCAGATGTTCTATTTATGCAATACTGTATACTTTATGCATGTCTGTGAAGGTTTTATTTCATAGGATCAGTTAAATTCTTTTGAAAAGTGTTACCATACAATCACATTAATCACTAGAAGGCCTGGTGTTGCTTTAGATTTTAAATATCACTTAAAATGTGTCTTTGTCACAATAAGTTCAATAGGCTAAATCAGCACAAACTTCTCAATTACTGACTGGCCTTCCCTCTATATGGAATAAATGCTACATTTTAGCCTTTTCAGGTCAACTATTTTTTAAAATCATTTAATGGTAATTATACTGTTACAAGTAAATCATGATGTAGGATAAACTAATAAAGGCATAACAAGGAAACTGTTGCCCAACAGATATTTCGTAACATATGCAGAATTACAAAACAAATTATCCCCTGGGTTCTGAGAGCACATCTGGCATATGAGTTCACAGCGACAAATTCTTGCCATGCTCCTAGACTTTCACACTTCACAACAAAGCATGGCAATGTTTCGTTCCTTGGCTCAACAGTAAGGTGAAGTCAATTGTAGCCACAATACCAACAAAGCACAGATTTGTCATCAAATATATTGCTTGCTTTGTCTATATTGTTGTCAATTATTGAACCTCCAACGGAATTTCCAGTAATATAATTTTAGTAGCAATTGCTGAAAAGCAAATTGTTGCTTAAATCAATAACTGGTAAGCAATTCACAAATTTGAGTACCATTTTCTCAGTTGTTATTTTTCTGTCATTAATTTTGAATGTGCAATACATGTTGTCATTTTAGGAAAACATCAATTTCCATGTTTAACAAATGTGTTGCTAGAAATGACAATTAGAATCTAGCTTTCCCAAATAAGAATAGGTTTACAGAATTTCAAAACTGAGTTTGAGAAATTGATGATAATGGCAGCTTCATATAGAAACAATAAAGGCAAATAAGTAACTTCCTTTCTCTTGAGGGACCATTTCTTATCCAGTATTGTCTGTCTGGAAATTGAACTACAAATATAATTAGGTGCTAATCTGTTTCATATACTAACATACAGAATGTTGGGTAAACAACAGAAGAATTCAAGTGCCTCCTTCAAAATTACATGACAGCACTGAAATGTAGTGGAATGTTATCATGTTAAGGCTATAGAGTTAGGAAATAATGCATTCAAATTTTGATCAGAAGTTTCTAAGTTTTATGCATTTGACCTGTTTTCTAAACAAAAGCTTTTTATCAATTACCCAAGAGAACAAAACTTAGAAACCTACAAATGTTGACAGTTTTAAATCTGACACATGATGAGATGTAGTCACTCAAGTAAATTCATTAAGTATTGCTTCATCTATTAATATTTTTGCATTCCAATGCCATTTTACACCAAAATATGTAGTGGCATCATTTTGTTATTGGTCACTGTGACAAGTATATTTCCCAGATTTTTTTCTGTTATTTCCCTGGATGTGGGTATTTCTGCTACATCAGCAGTTGTTGTGCTTCCCTAATTGCCCTCAACAAGGTGGTGGTGAGTGATTTTGATCTGCTGCAATCTGTGTGGTATACATTCATCAAAATGTTTTTCTTCAGGAAAGGTGACATGCCCATGTTGATAACATGAAAATAATTCTTTAAAAAGACTTTTATTTCTTGTTTTAGTTTATGTTGAGTTATTTAAAATAATAAGATTGATTTGCTTTTATTTCGACATTCCCTTTGTGTGACGATCACTGTACTGTGAAAAGGAATTTAAAAAAGCCAGAGAACTTGTGATTAATGCCATTTATGGTCCGAGGTATCTGGCAGACACAAAGGAAGAATTAATTTGAGGACAGAATCTCCACCATCTGAAATTGATATCAATGTAGACTTCTTGTTATAGAAATCTCAATCTGATAGAAATGGCAGAATATCTTGGAGTGCAACTGTGTAGGGAAAGAACAAAATCCAGGTTGAGCATGTCTTGACTGCCATAAAGGCATCACAGAAGACAGCTTTACACATTGGACTCCCAAATATCCCAAACAGGCATTACAATAGCTGATCTTTCCAAGCGAATTACAAAGATTACAACAGTTCATTTCATTCATGGTTTGATGAAGTTGAGGGATTATGTAATGTAATATTAAACAAATAAAAACAAATATACCGCAATGGAAAGTGTTCAAGGGTCAATGTCACTGTTTACCCCAAATGATTTCATGGCAAGATTTCATAGATATCTCTTCTCAACTTCACACATCTATCACATCAAGCTACACAATAAAGTGTTAATTTGGTTATATACAGTTCATTAATTTATAACAAGAATGAACCACAGTGAGGTAAAAATGTAACAAATGCTGAGAGCGGTGTTTTAACATATTGTGCTAAATACTGCACCCACAACAGTGTTTTTGTACAATAATTGTTGTAGGTCATTAGTTGCATACGATATTTTTTGAAACAATGACAGTGAAACAGGCATATCAACGGCCTTCACGCCACTTTGGTTTCAGTATTTGTTTTCAGGGTACTATCAGAAAGGTTTGATATGCAATTGACGCATTTATTTTAGCTTTCTCACAGTTCAGATCTCAAATTGGGATTCTATCAAACACGAAAAGATGGTCGACCGATTTTCAGTAAATGTTATTTAAAAAGAAAAAAAAGTTTTTGTCCGTTTCTTAGCGTCGATTTCACCCAAACGGAGCCAATCTGCTTTGTTGTTTATCTGGAGGAGGACGATGTTGGAGTTAATGTTGCCACGGCTCATTTCCCGCTCAGCGGTCAGTTTCCTCATGATCCCCGGGTTCACGGTGAATTAGGAGGTACACTCGAACTGCGAGATCTTTATTCTACATTTGATTTTTTAAAAGGCCTAACCATGAAGCGGATGGTTTGTAGCTACAAGGCTCTCGCTGCCAGCCCTCCCTATAGGAAATCAAGGGACAATAGAGAGACCACTCACCAGGCAAAATGAACACGCGGCGGGACTAGGGCACGGCTCTCCTGGCGGCTGAAGAGAACATTGAATGAAGCAGAGTTTCTGCTGCTTGGCCTAGCTAACCCTTCAATCTTCCAGCTCGGTATTCACACAGCGCATGTCTGGAAAATCCCCTCTTCAAAAAGCAGCGAATAGCCGAGGGAGCTGCTCGGATTTGAATCTTTCAAAATTGTTACGAAACCTTCAAACAGTTTTCAGTAAATCCTGGCGGATTGCAAGTGGGCACACCCAACAGTGCAGCTAGTAAACACTAAAATTTGTGGCGATCATATTCTTTTCGGAAATAGTTTAACCCGTTGAAGTGAAGAAGACCCTTAAGTGCAACACTATTCAGTGTCACATTTCTGTTTTTGTTTCAGATTTCCAGCTTCCGCAGTTCTTTCGTTTTTTTACTATTCAGTGTTGCCTTTTTCTTTATTTTAATAAAAAATCGAGTGAAGATGCATGGAATGGGTGGCTGAAACTGTTAGCTCAGTTAATTTCCAAATCAAATCGTGACATTTTCCAACCTTTGCCCAATTATTTAGGACATTGAAATTTCAATATGTGTTAATAACTTGGATGGATGTGAAATGTACTATCGCTAAATTGCGGACGACAACGGAAACGGGTGGGATGACAAGTACTGAGGGTAACACATGGTGTCTACAGCGGGATATAGACAGGTAAAGTGAGTGGGCGAAAACTTGGTAGATGGAATGAAAGATTGGAAAATGTGAGGATATGCACTTTGGCAGGAAGGATAGAGGAACTTAATATTACTGCAGGGGGTCCTACTGCAAGACGCTAACCCTAACGAACAACCGCCCCCCAAAAAAAAGACAAAAAGTGTACATCCAAGTCCAGCAGGTAATAGAAAAGACGTGAGAATATAGTATTGGCTTTTATTTCTGAAGGAAATAAGTACAAAGGTAGGGCGATTTTGCTAGAACTACACAAGGCACCAGTCAGATGACCTCTGGAATACTGTGAACAGTTTTGGCCCCCTTATCTAAGGAAAGTTACACTGTCAATCGAGAGAAGGTTCACTAGGCTGATGCTGGCTATGGGGGAATTTTCTTATGAGGAGAGTTTGAGTAGGTTGAGCTTCTACTCATTTGGGGTTTACAAGAATGAGAGGAGATGAGAGGCATAGATAGAGTGGATAGTCAGAGATTTTTTCCCAGGACGGAAATGACTGTTACGAGGGCGCATAATTTTAAGGTGATTGGAGGAAGGTATAGGAGAGATGTCAGAGGTAGGTTCTTTACACAGAGAGTGGTGGGCGTGTGGAATGCGCTACCGGCAGTGGTAGTGGAGTCAGATACTTAAGAGACTTTTAAGCGACTCTTGGATAGGCACATGGAGGATAGTAAAATGTAGGGTATGCAGGCTGGATTGATCTTAGTAGGATAACAGGTCGACACAACATCATGGGCCGAAGGGCCTGTACTGTGCTGTACTGTTCTATGTTCTATGAGACCTTTTCGAAACATATAAGATTCTTAAGGGGCTTGACAGGGTCGAGGTTGTTTCCCCTTATAACAATGTCTAGGGCTAGAGGGCGTAATCTCAGAGTAAGGAGTCATTTATTTAAAACAGAGATTAGGATATTTTTTTTCTCTAGGAGGTAATTGAATCTGTGGAATTCTTCACCACCGTCTAGAATTCCAAAACGCTGTCTGAACTGTATCGTTAAATGTTTTCACGATTGAGATAGACAGATTTCTAATAATTAAGGGAATCAAAGGTTTATTAGGAAACGGCGGGAAAGTGGAGCTGAGGATCAGCCATGATCCCATTGAAGGGCAGAATGGACATGATGGGCCAAATGAAAACAAAAAATGCTGGAAATCACGATGGGTCAGGCAGCATCCATTAAGAAAGAGCAAGCTAATGTTTCTACTCTAGATGACTCTTCATCAGGGCCAAATGGCTTACTTTTGCCCCGTGTCTCAAGATCTTATCATCTTATGGTTATATCAATGTCTTTAGAATGAGAGAGAAAATAGTGTGGGTTAAAAGGTGTGCTGGTACAGAAGTATGAAATGATATGTATGAGCAGTAAACTTTACCTCCATCATATTAAAAAGCACACATTTCCAGCTTTTACTTAGGTGTTCCAGCATCCGCGGTATTTTATGTTTAAATATTATGTTATTAAGCAATGTTGTGCTTGCTACTGCACTCTGATGGGAATTTATATTTCACACGTGTTTAGTTTTGATCACAATCAAAGGTATATCTCCCAATGGAACCTGAGCTTTAAAATGTTATAGTGGGGCTTGTAGCCAATCACACAAATATTGAAGAAGAGTCAGACTGGACTCGAAATTTAACTCTGTTTCTCTCTTCACAGATGCTGCCAGACTTGGAGAGGTTCTCCAGCAGTTTCAGTTTTTATATCATACAGATATAGCTCTCAAACATGCAGGGGCTGGAAGCTCGTTACATTTCTAATAGTAGAAAATCTAATTTTCACCTGGATTTTTTTCTCTCTCTACTTAAACTGCTGTATGAGTAAGAACCTTTGCAGCCAATGTATTTATTGAGAGAGTACGGTTTAATTGAGCTGGGAAGCGCGAGGCTTTATCCTAATCCATAGTGGTCTCAGGTGTTATGAACAAATAAATCACTCTCAAATCTCCTTGATAATCGAATGGAGACAGAATTGAAAAGAATTGCCCATTATTTGCAAGGCTATTAAGCTAGCGGAGCTTTATTTTGGCTTTGCTGGCTTTCCTCACCTAAATACGTAAAGGTACTCTGCTGTTTTGAGCATCCTTAATCGTTTTCAGACTTTGCTGATGTTCAGTGAACTACAGTACTGTATAAGCAGCCTCAGTAGCAGGCTGAACGGAATGAATGGACTACCTACAGCTCTGTATTTTCTAGGTTTCCTTTGTAATGACGCTGTTTTACAGTTTATCGAAAATACCATCGAAAAAGCGACTTTGAAAAGCGTCATTTTTCACTGACTAACAAACTCTGCATCCGAGGATTTTGGGCCGTTTTAAGTCTTGGTTAAGTCTGAAACTTCAACCTGAGCGGATAGGTAAAATTAATGGTGTGCCTGTCAAAAGAAGTCACAATTTTGATTGTCTTCTCTCAATCAAACCCTCGAGAGTACATAACGTCAACGGCTTGAAGCAGTAGAATCGGAAAACTCCAAGGTGAACAACAGCTTTCCGATGTAATAAGGAAGTGAATGGTTTGGTATCGTTTCCTGAGATGCATTCAAAAGGAAAGCAAATGTGAATGATATTTTCTGGATGCTTGACATCTGAAATTTAAAAAAAAGGACACTGGAAATACTCAGCGGATCAGGAGTATCTGTAGAGAAAGAAAAGATTAATGTTTCAGGTCCATGACCTTGAGAGTTTGGAACAATTACAGATGTCAAAGAGTCATAGAGATGTACAGTATGGAACAAACCCTTCTATCTAACTCGTCCATGCCGATCAGCTATCCTAAATTAATCTAGTCCCATGTGCCAGCATTTGGCCTATATCCTTCTAAACCTTTCCTATTCATATATCCATCCAGATACCTTTTGAATGTTGTAATTGTACCAGCCACCACCACTTCCTCTGGCAGCTCATTCCATGCACGCACCACCCTCTGCATGAAAAAGTTGCCGCTTAGGTACTTCTTAAATCTTTCCCCTCTCAACTAAAATCTATGCCCTCTAGTTTTGTATTCCCCTAGTCTGGGGAAAGGACGTTGACTATTAACCCAATCTATATCCCTCACGATTTTATAAACTTCTTTAAGGTCACCCCTCAGCCTCCCATATGCCAAGGAAAACAGCCCCAGCCTATTCAGCCTCTCCCCATAGTTCAAACCCTCCAATCCTGACAATGTCCTTGTAAAGCTTTTCTGAATCCTCCCAAGTTTCACACCATCTTTCCTATAGCAGGGAGACCGGACTGAACACACAATTCCAAAAGTGGCCTAACCAATGTCCTGTACAGCCACAACATAACCTCCCAAATCCTATACTCAATGCACTGATCAACAAAGGCAAGCATACAAAACATCTTCACTATGAGTTAGTAAGAACGACCGATGCTGAGATACCACAGTGTGGAGCTGGAGCAACACAGCAGGCCAGGCAGCATCAGAGGAGCAAAAAAGCTGATGTTTCAGGTTGGGACCCTACATCAGAAAAAGGGTCTGAAGAAGTGTCCTGACCCAAAACGTCAGCTTTCCTGCTCCTCTGATGCTGCCTGGCCTGTTGTGTTCCTCCAGCTCCACACTGTGTTACCTTCTTCACTACCCTTCCTATCAGCGACTCCATTTTCAAGGAACTATGAAACTGCATTCCAAGGTCTCTTTGTTTGGCAACACACCTAGGACCTTACCATTAAATGTATAAGTCCAGCCCTGACTTGCCTTTCCAAAATGCAGCACCTCACATTTATCTGAATTAAACTCCAATTCCCACTCCTCGGCTCATCTGATCAAGGTCCTGTTGTACTCTGAGTAACCTTCTTCGCTGTCCACTATACCACCAATTTTGTTATCATCTGGTTATGGTAGTCCCTCAAATCTGCCAAGAAGCAACATCTGGAGTCTTTGAAGTGGAAGGGCTGTGGTGCCACAGCTACTGCCGTTTTTTTGTTCTGACCAGGAAATTCTCACTACCTGCCTTTGGCATATGGGAAGAATTTACAGATTGAGAATTGGCCACAATGATACACCGTCCATAGCCATCAAGTCATGAAGAAAGTCTTAGATCCAGAGTGTGCCACAAAACCCCCAACAACTAAGGGATGCAATAAGTATGGGATAGGGTCAGAAGAAGAACAAAACGGTTGGGGGGGGGTGGGATCTGTGATAAGGATGGCTGGAAAGGTTCAGTGGCAAAAAGATTGGCAGAGCAAGGCCAAAGTGGCAAATGTCAAGTAAGAAAAAAATCAAAATGTGTGTAGAGATACAAGTGGCAGAATAGCAGAAAATGAAAACATGACAGCAAAGCAAAATCAGCAAATATTAAAAAAAACAAAATTAGGGTAGAGATTATGAAATTATTGAACTCAAAATTGAGTTCAGAAGATTTGAAATATCTTAGTAAAGAATAAGGTGTGGCTGCTTGAGCTAAGATTGAAGTGCATCGCAACACTGCAGACTGCTAATTAGAAAGAAGTCTGCACTAC